TGCCTCCTAGCGACACGAATAATTACCGCCACAACCATGGCAACTACTTCTTCTACTGGCAGCGCGTCTTCGAACGGTACGCCTCCCTAAACCCTTTTTGAACCCAGACTCCCTAAACCCTAAACCCTAAACCTACGCCTCTTCCAGCTTCCTCTTCTTCTCCTTCTCGAGGCGCTTCTTCTCGCGCTTCGCCTCACGCTCCTTCTCACGCTCCTGGCATGGAAACCGATTTCCGACTCACACCCCCGCAACTGCAGGCATGGCAATAAGTGTCCGAGATTTAAGGGCGAAGTCTTACGCTTGTTTTGGGGGATGTCTCACACTTATGGTGCATGAATAAGGGTTCCAAGACTCAAAATTAGTGCTGTCGATTAGTGTAGAAAGTTGCTGGTCCAGGTTGATCCCCAGGTGTGGGGATCTTGAAAATGAAGGGGTGTGTACAAAAAGGATTCTATAAAATCAGATGGAGTCAAAACAAACTTCCGCCCACATACTGCTGTATTCACAGTACAATGTCATGTGTTGCTCTGCAAACTTCTCGGCACATCCGACTCACGCATGAACCAAAAATCGCCGTTCCAAAGGCTGTCTTTATTGCGGGGTTTGCAGAATTGATCGAACCAGCTAAGCCTCATGAATTGCCCGGAGGCGGGGGCATGAATTCGGAACTCTCACACATACGGGTCCAGCTGAGCTTCTACTTTGGCAGGTGTCTTCCGGGGCTACGGGTATATACCTGCCATCCCGCATGTGCCTCTTCCTCCTTTGCTTCTTGCAATCGTTTTTCTCGGAGCCTGGAGCAATCCATGCACATGCAGCCTTCAGCTTCAATTCCTTCAACCTACGAATTCCGCAGGCATTGAAGTCGCGCCTTGCTGCAGGCTACGTGAAGATAAAGCCAAAAGGAACCCACGGGCAGAAAAGGCTCGGGTGAAAATGAAGCTGGCAAACCTTGAATAGCTAGTCAGAGTTCGGCAGTTTACCCTGTAAAGCTTCCACCCCAGACCTGGCAGACTAACCACCGCTAGGCGAGGCAAGCCTACACGAAGTATCGCTTCCAAAACCCGCCCGTCGACGGCCCATTCAAGAAGGGTGCTTGTCCGGATTGTAGACCTACACCCTACTCTGTGCTAAGGACAGTTATCAGGACGAGGGTGCTTGGAATTCGTGAAGACTTCCGATGAGTCCCGGAGGAGGGGTGGGGGAATTGAAGGACATTTCCGGACGACTTCTTACCTGCAATGACCCGGGCGATGATTTTGAGAGCGACATTTGCAAGTGTAGGACGAAGGCAACGCGAACGAAGGGTGACTTTATTCTGCTGAAGCATGTGCCTTACCACTGCCATTCTACAGGTTTGATCTCCTAACAGTGACGACCCGATAGCCGCCACATTGACGATGGTAATCTGCGTGACTCTCACAACAACCGCAAGGATTGCAACAAAATCGGGGCAGGTACCATGTCAGCACAATAGCTTGAAAGCAGAAACACTAGTGGTAGCCATGATATCATGCTTTTTTGCAGCCTGGCTCTCCACTCCTCCTCTTCTCGGAGCTTCTGTTCTTCAGCCTACCGCAAGCATCCACGGAAGCAGCAACTACCTGAAACCACCATGGCCTTCTTCCATACTGTCAGTGCGCCAATCCTATGAACTTGCGCAAGCAAGTCAGGGATCTACAAGCTTCGAGATCACAGCGGCTGATTTCGGTCATAAAGATTCCAGGCCTTTCAGCACAGTACGAACCATGACAGGAACTGAAAAGGTAAAGGTACCAATACAAGTAGGAGCCCAAGTGAAAATGCCGGTACTGACAAGAGCAGTGATCGGAGAGGATGGAGGCAAACTAATCACAATGCTATAAACTCGAACAAACGTGAGCTGCAGCAGCTGGTATAATTACTGCGCAAGGTAACCACCTAAGCCCATGTTTGTTTCGCTTAGACTGTCGGCATGTTGCTTCAACGCTGCACAACAAACGCTCATGATGCTGTGGGCGCAGGTTGCGTCTTTGTGCACACAACTTGGACACGCTCGACAACCAATCCTGGCAAACCCCTCAGCCTAGTCAAGAACAGGAGTAGCAGCAACAAGCATTCTGGGCCAACAGTGTAGGATTTGGCTCCAGCTAGGGCAGCATGGCTTACTATTTCACATTGCATGGACATCGCCGTCGGTCAGTCATTGAAGGTCACACCCAAAGCCTTTCCGATTGGCTCTCCATCAGTCTCTATGCCGCCTCCTTTTTGCGTTTCTCGAAGGCTTCTTGCACCTAGCACCAGCACATCATTAAACCAAACTACTGCTGCGTAACGACACACTTGAGTGCAAAACAGTGCCTGCACATTCGATTTATGCTGGCGGTATCGGCTCCAGGACTCAAGCTGCAACTTGAAAGCCTTCCGACGCTCGGCTTCTAGGAGAGCTTTCCGCTTCTTTTCTTCTCTCTTTTTCTCCTGCGACGCTCAATGTGCGAAGGCAACTGGTGGAGGGCAAGCAGTGCTCGGCGATACCACTCGAAAGCCCAGATCCAAACATCATCTATGATTCGTTCGTCCTCCTTAGCTTCAATCTCCTTCATTTCCTGCTCCATGGCCTTCTCTCGCTTGGACTGCTCCTGGTTCAGGGCCGGGTTGTTTTGCCCAGCACAGCCTTCCAAAGCCCAGGGTGCCTTCTTGTCTAGGAGCTTCGACTTTTCCATTCTCCACCAATCAGGTGTAGCCGTTCCTAGCACGAGGCTCAGTGCTATGCTTCCACCATGGTGCTTGCAAAGGCGGCTGCGGGCTCAAACTCTCTGATGTCCGATCATCTTGTCTGAGAAAAACTACTGCTGCTGCAGGGTCTTCGCAGAGCATCACAGCACGTGTCCGCTTTGCAAAGCATCTGAGCCCTCCGCCCTCGGTCTTGTGCTCGTCGTCCTAGAGGCTTGTGGGGAGAGCGATGATGTGATGGTGCAGGCTCTTGTCTGGTGCGGAAGTTCTGCAAGATTATTTCATGTTGCCCCGTGTGCCTAATCTCCATTATTGTAACACAGTTGAACTTATGACGAAGTAGGGATCATATTCTGGAGCTGAGTACGTTATTTATTCGGCATTTGTGTTGCAAGTTGATTGCCCCACGCTTGCGAGCTTTGTTGCCAGTACTCTTCAAAATGTCCGGAACCTTGTTGCCAGTATGTTGGGGCAGATGCATGACCCTCGGTAAAGTCTTCTATGCTTCCACAAACAACGATCCGGAAAATCTGTCCACACTTCTCGCGTCAAAGCGGTCCTTGCCCTTTTGGCCATTGTCCTGGCAGAGGTAAGGGAAGCACTTCAATATCATGGCGACGTGCTGGCACTGTGGAACCGCAATAACACCGACCTGTGTCAGTTCTACCAAAACACAAGAAAATCGGCAAGGCGATCGTCTAGTTCCGGTAAGACGACCGCAGAAAATCGAAAAGCCAACGCACACAGAACCACGAGTGTGGTGGCACGATATGTAGGATTGTCCAAACACCACAAGCACGTAATCCAGAAGAAAGATTCATGAGAAACACTGAAACACTGACAGGCTACATTAACCCTGTGCCATCGCTTAACTGATGAATGTGGCTTTGGACTGTGAAAGGAGAACGATACCACACATTGTCGTCATGCACACGCTGCCACATGCTGTACCATGGTTTCCAAGATGATCCTGCACTCATGCAGCAACGGAGCCAGGGAACGTGAGTCAAACCAGGCATGAGAACATGAATAGTAAAGCAGGTGCTTTCGCTGTCACGGCCACAGTACGACAAAAAGTTCAACAAAACCCTACATAAGTAGCGGAAAGGCAGCCGTGCACATCCTGACTTTGCAGAGTCGGAGCTGGACTGCCACCACGCTTGCTTAAGAGCTCTTGCAAGACATTACGCTACACCCGGCACGGGCATTCTTAACCCATGGTACCTGTCTGCTAACAAAGCAAAAGACAACAAAGCTGCCATGGCAAGGCCGTTTTCCGCAGAAGCTTGGCGCTCGGGAAATTCTCAACCCAGGAGCGATTGAGATGGCAACGAATCAATGGGAAGCAGTCGACCTTCGGTCGTCTGCTGCCACAAGTGCCCCAAGCGCTCAGGGCATTCAGGTCAAAGGCATCAGAAGAAGAAACTACCAGGTGGGCTTGCCTCAGCTGGAAGCGCTGCAGCGCAAGTTCTGCCCAAGAAAACACGCCTAAGGCTCGGAAGGCGCCCTGCTCAGCAACTTAGTCCCTAAACGGCCTGTGGGCAAGGTCCTATTGCCAGACGCAGTCAACTGGATTGGACAACCTTGCAAAGCAAACTTACCAAATAGTTTGAGTTGCTAGTTTTCTGTCAGAATATATATTCATAGGCACATACATAAGGGTTAACAGCACTTTTGTAAACCGAAATAAAACAAAATTCTTGTACCAGAGGCTTGCTAGCAGCAAGAAGCAGAAGAGCTCCAGCTATCTTTCAGAGTGAACTAGGAGAACCATCTTGCTCCTCATGAAAAAATGAAAGTATGTCTATGTGGTTTTATGCCCCGCGGAACATTTGGTAAGGCAACTTCACCATATCATTTCTCTAAGGCATTTGCCTTTCTTCTCAAAGTTCTCCCTGGCTGGAACTATAAGCGTTTGTGTTTCACGAGCGAACATACGGCATGTGAAGGCTCTTTTCTCCCTTTCTAAAACCAAGAACAAGGACCGCTCGCACAATCTAACAGTGATGTAGCCCCTGTATGTCCTCACAAAGAGGAAACGACGACTCCTGCAGACATCCTTATGCTTTGGAAGCAATAAGACAATTCTACCAGATAACTTGTTGGCCAGGTAACGAAAAGACTTGTGCTGGAGGTCTTGAAACTTTCATATCAAATCAAACCAATGCCGAATTCAGACCAGGGAATATTAGCCACAGCCATTCACATAGCAATACCACTATCATCATCACCGCCCCGATCCAGAGCAGCCATGCAGCAGGAACCGTCGAAGGCAGCTTGCGTTGTAGTTAAAGGTCTCCTCGGCTCAAAGAGGGCCCAAGAACTGACCTGAAAAACAGACGCAATCCCCAATCCTTCTTGCCCCAAGCTGAGACTTGGGGACACCTGTCACCACATCCGTGATGCTTGTCGAGCTCAAAGGTTCTTTCCAAGGTCTATACCTAGCCAATGACAATAAGTACACAACCGGGGCTGGTAATTTCGAGCATGTCAGCCGGTCCTTTCCCACAGCCTCAAGCTTCAGACAGAAGCTACAGGGGCATTCGTCCCGAAATGGCCAAAGGGCTGGGATCGAAGAAGTTGTCCGCCGACAGTGGTGGCAAGCCGGCGCTACTACCTTCCACAGACCTGCGTCCATTTGGGAGGGATTGGTTGAGGACATGGCCTTCTTGCGCAACAGCCCTGAGGTGACGTGCAAAAGGTGGGGCATGCTTTTGGTGACTGCTGCCGACACGCGCGACAGCACCGTTTCTACGGTCCGTCAGTCTGAAGTCTCTGAGTGATGGAGGGGTGGGGTCAAAATGCTGACATTGAGCCAATCAAGCCCCAGACTAGTGACTTTGAAGGCTGGCCTGTCGCAGGGGACCAAGCTGTGTCTGCAGTTGCGGGCAGAGGTATGTTCGCAGGATTGCAAGTACTAGGCAGGGTGCAGGCGAGAAGCTTGTACATGAAAGTGGTGCTGAACTTGTTGCTCGGAAAGAAAGGCCTGCCAAGGGGATTTGTCGCACATTCAAGCTCTTGTTGCCGGAGTGATAAGCATTGTGCGCTCGTTCTTCGGCAGCCTCAGCGGATGGCTCACGTCCATATTGCAGATGGACATGGCCTCTGTGAAGCGGCTCTGTCAACATTTGAGGGAAGGCGCATGCGGGCTCCGCCCCGTCTGGGACGAGGTCACACCGCAGAGCTCTAAGTCCCAATCTTCTGAATGTAGGATTTGTCGTTTTTTGCGGAAAGCTAAAACTTGTCAGTCGGCCTTATTCCAGGTGCCAGCAAGCCACGTATCCAGACTCCCTCGCGACGTTGTGAACCCTTCAAGGCGCAGGCTGCGAAATGACGAGATAAGCTGCTTTTTTTTGGGCTCCGTCGTCCCACCTCTTGACAACCGCCCGCATTAGCTGCTCTTGGTCTTCTTTGGGACCGAAACCAAACGGGCCGAAGAGCCTGCATGGCAAATCTAGACTGACGTTGCGGGCAGTGCTTGAGAATCAGTGTCCTATGTCTCATCTTCGTGTTGTTTGAGATGATCTTGTCTCCGATGAAGCTCAGGACAGGCCAGACTCTCCACACGAGGCAGGCGGAAGAAGCGGTCACTCCAATCCTTGGCCAAATGGCTTAACTGAAGTAGCCCAAAGGCCGTCAAGTATGGAAAGCATCGGATGGAACAACTCCCCATTTCACAAAGCAGGACATTCAAGCACTGGGCCCTTGAACTGAACTACATGCTGTATGTCCATGCTGCAATGCGTCATGACTTACAGTGTCTTGGAGTCTTGGCAGTGCAGTCAAGCTTCATGCCAACGAGCCAAAGGACGTCCTTGGTGCTCTGCGTCTCTGCAGCTGCAGTTCCGGCGGCCTGGTCAAAAGCTGCGTGGAACCGCTTCATCTGAATGTACCTCAATGACTCAAGGACTCAAGCTACACGGAGGGATCAACCACAGAGTGCGCCACGCCGATCGTCCTTGCAGTTGTATGTGGCAGATCCATCCGTATCAACCCCCATTCGCGACTCAACGTGGGACGACTATCGTGCTCGTACTCCATCTCGGCATGAAGGAAGCAACAGGTGACCACATGCAACCAGAATGGCAGTAGCACAGAGCTTAGGGCAATGGCCATTATGCTAACATCTGTGACTTCGACATACGTACGGTCTGCCGAAGTAGTAAGAGGCAGGAAGTCCACGCTTCGCTAATCTCGCTCAGCATAAGCCCTCGGATGCCTGAAGTGCTTGCACCCAGCGCAGAGCCACGAACAGAAGGGCACTGATGCCCATGCAGCGGAAGACGCCGCTCCTGCGACAGCAGGAAATTTTCAGGCTCGGGTTTGCACTTTTGCACATTGCCAACAGCAGTTGCGAGCCAGGCCTCAGCCACGAAATGGGCAGGAAGAGCCGCTCGATCTTGAAGCCGGTCAGAGAGCTTCCTCAAGACGTCGTCAACTCACATGCTTGGTCTGGACTGCCTGCAGGTTTCGTGGATCTAGAGCACCATTCATTCATAACCCGTGCGCACGTAGGCTGCAAATAAGCGGCCATTCCAAGCGCTTACTCCTGCGACACTCTCTCCGCGTCGGGCCAAGAAGGATCCCTGCTTTCAGACTCAAGGCTGCGAAACCAAAGCCATGTCAGAGTTGCTTGCGAAGCCTCGTAGAGAGGTGAATCGAAGAGCTGTCCCAACTGGTTTAGCAAGAGGTCCTTCGATACAGGGTCGGCTAGATCAAAGTGCCGAAAGACTAGGGCTAAGCGAGTTCGTGTTCACCTGTCATGACATTTTGCAGGCTTTACGTACGTCCGTTTGAGCCTTTCTGCTTTCTACAGCATGTACGAACAAAACTAGACTCAATGTGATAATTTGCGTGGAAGGAGAATATGAAGCTCTCATCCTCTCTTAACCACCCACTCGGTCTGCTCTCTCGACAGGCGACTTGCAGCGTTCGCCCAGGTGTGGAAACACACTTTTGTGTTTGGGCTCGTGCTCATGCAACGGGGAGGCAGACCATGTCGACAGCGCCGGTTGTGCAGATTGTAAATGCGCAGCGTGTTGGCGCAGGCTGGATGTGAGGGTAGGAGCTGAAAGGGTGTGGGTGGATATACGTCTGTGCAGTTACACAACATACAGCACAAGCAGACAGCGACGTAGAAAATGCCGGAGGTGCTAATAAACCCACAAGAACCCTTGATCAACCCTATGCACCCCTTAACCCTAAACCCTAAACCCCTAAATCCCTTTTACACCTGGACTACGCATATGCCAGGAACCGAACCCCTAATTCCCTAAACCCCTTTTTGCAACAGGCTTCGTACCCTAAACCCCTAAACCCTAAACCCCTCTAAACCCTAAACCCTAAACCCTAAGCCCTAAACCTAACCAATTCGGGTCCGCGGAGGCGTAGAAGCGGCAGGTCATGGCCCGAGCTGCTTCCTTTCAAAGCGGTTTAGGGTTTGCCCTAAACCCTAAACCCTAGAAGGGTTAGGGTTTGCCGCAAAGGGTCGGGTTTCGATTCACACACTCGCACGAGGCAGGCATGGCAACAAAGGCCCGAGCCTGCTGTTGGGACATTGCATTCGCAAAACTGGCAAGGAGCTAGCAGCTAGCACAAAGTATCAGACATAAGGGTTTAGGGTTTGCAGGCCAAATGTGAAATCTGAACCGCGAACCTGTCTTTGATGACTTGAATGTTTCTGCGAGGACACTTTTGGCTATTTGCCGCTTATGCCAGCGTGAATCCCGGAAACCACCCCTAGACCCGGAAGACCCCAAGAAACGAAGCGAAAAAGCTCCCCCCATCTACTGGAGGGATTCGGAGCGCGGCCAAAATGATTCCTCCAAGCACCGGTAGGATTCAGAGATTTCGACCGAAAGGTCGCTAAAGTAACTGCTGGAAGTTTGAACGGATCTTGCTTTTCGGGGAACGGGGCAGGACGGATCCTCTGAACATAATACAGGATTAGGAGCCCTGTAGTCATGGTTCCGCGCTTCTTAGGGTCACGCAGCAGCACGCCTTGTCGAGCTCTTCGACTTCGATGTCTCCGTCCTGGCGAACTGTAGGCCACATGCAGGGCACCATCCAATCCTAAAATCCTGAAGAGCGAACCCCCTACCCAACCTTACAACAAGCAAAAGCCGTTAAGACACGAAGCCCCTCAACATGAAGATAAAGGCCTTTCCTAATCCTGCCACGCATAATGTCATAGCCGGTCAGAAACACACAAACACATGCTTGATACAACCTTCTAGACCTCCCAGAGCCAACATGTGTCTGCAATGTGGCAGAGGTCCTCCTGCTCGGGGAAGGCCAGCAATGCCATGGCCGGACTTCCTTTGTTTACATCTTTCAAGGGGTTTCGACTCCAAAGTGCTCTTGCTTATGGTCTGTGCTACAGAGGCCTTGATCCAAGCCAATTGGCTTGGGGCACAGACAAGACGTTTCGACACCTGGCTGCTTCCACAATGCCGCACAAGAAGAACTGCAAGTTTGACACATGTGTATGTATCCGAACCATGACCTGTCGAAGGTAACGGTCAATGCAACGTGGCACTACGTATCTCAGTATTTTGCATAGGTCCGTTCAAAGCAGCTTTGGAACCAAAGTATCGATGGGAGGCGTGGACGAAGCCACGCTTGGCGTAAAGGGACTTCGCCTTGACGTTGTCAGAATTCACCTTGCGGAATTAGACTGGTCTCGAGCGTGGCAAAGTACCCCCGTCAATCCTGCTGATAGTAGTAACCCTGCTGACATCAGCAGCCGTAAACAAGCTTTAAACTCGTAATCGAGATAGCTGGGGTATAGATAGAAGTTTTTCCGAACTTTGTCTGTGGCTCCCAGTGTGTCAAATCATGAAGCAACAGCATGTCATAAGCAGCCGGCCATCTCAATGCTTGCGTGCTGTCGGTGGTGCTTCTTCTGTCGCCGGGGCGCGGTCAGGTACAGAAACTTTGCTCCCTTCGCTTCGCAGGCATCCTCTGTGGCTTGGAAGATGTCGGGGTGCATAGGGCTATTGCCATCCGATCAAGACAGCCTGTACCGTACAAGCTGATACCCACTGAGCGATTCCTGCTGGTAAGTACTGCGACAACACGGCGTAGCACATGGCAATGGCTCGAACATGCTCAAACCAACATAGGGGTCACAGCGACCACGAGCGACCCGAGACAGACTCTTTCAGCTGCACTGGCTCCTCAATCTGCTGTGTCAAGGCTTTGCCGACGCCGTATCCCTGATACTCTTCGTCAACCCTCCTCAGCATTGCCCGTGCCCTATGACTTTGCAAGTCTTCAGTGTGTCTGTGTGCGCATGTAGTCACCTGATCTGGCTGTCCACCAAAGCAGCTGAGCATGTTTCAAACAGAAGTTCATTTTGTAGTCACTCCAAAGGGCACTTGTCAAGGCTACGTTTGCTTGCCATTTGAGGCCATCAGCTCGATCATCAGAAGCACTTGGCAGAGGTTGCAAAGGTAAGTTTAGAGAGTAGGTTATGTTTGATGCTGGCACCAGAATTACCAAACCTAAAGAAACAGAGCAATCCCAAGCTGCAGAAGGATGCCTGGCGAGCACGAGGAATTCTACATCTCCAACGCACCCGCCTGACTAGTGACAGTGCTTCATGCCGGCTGGGAAAGAAAGGCCAGTGCATAATCGTAATTCTGAGCAATGTGGAAAACGCATCTGATCAAGAGAACATGAGGGAACCATGAACCCCAAAAGCCCAGATACAAACGAAAAGGACCTGAAGCTGCCCAGGGACAGGTCGAAGATGTAGGCAACCTTGCACATCTTGCCGTGGAGCTGTGCAGTTTTGAGGGCGGCGCAGCCGACAGCTATAATGCGCCCACCTGAAGGGATTCGCGGTGCTTGTGATGGTGACGATGATGATGACGGAGTGCTGATCACATGAGCGAACTACAGCGAACTTCACGAAGCCTGACGAACGAGACCAATGCAGCGCAAACTACTCTATTGACGAACATGACATGGTTTAGTTTGGTGCTGATCACGCACACCAACGCGAACAACAGTGATGCCCGCAGGCTCCTGGTCGTAGAACTGTCCATGCCAAGAACATGCACAGTTCCTTCATGCCAATGTGTTAGCGCGCGTGGTGAAAATCACCCTAGCCAGGCTTGTCCAGAGAGTGGCCATACCATTGCTGAAGGTCGCGATACCACTGAGAGAAACCAACTAGAAATTGAGATCATGTCATTTCTTCATCATGCCAGCATCACATCGGAACACGGCCCCCAGATCCGATCTTGTTACTCCAGGCTCAGCGTCTTCCTGTTGCCCGCCTTCCGATCGATCTTCTGCAACGCGGATGATGTGGTCCTCTCGTCACAGACGTAATGTCACATCAGGAAGCTCGAACAATTTACGGGTTGCTTGCAGATGCAGCACACCTGAAACAACCAAACTACAGGGTGCCGCTCCACTCCAACCTAGCATGCTATTCATGTGCTACGACGTGAAGTGCAAGACAATTCGAGCAATCACATCCTCGTATTGGCGGGGCTTTGCGTCGAATGTGAGGAAATGCTGAAAGCCGGCTCGAATGAAGATGCGCGTGAACTTCTGCAGCCACGGAAAGCGCGAACCTTGGAGGCAGCATGAAGCGGCACTCCACACATCGAGGATGAGAGCTTTATCTACATCAGAAAATCCATGGAGAACGCATCCGTCTCGCCACTTACAAAACCGAAGTCCTCAACAATCCCATGCTCATCGGCCCAGTACGGCGAAGGCACCCTGCATAGCACGCATCTCCAGGGCCTTGCCGGGAGGGTCTTTTGATTCGCTTTGGTGACGACATGTTGAGGGGGGGTGCAATCCAGGGAACTTTCGCGAATGCCCACAAAGACAAGGTCTCTTCTTTCATTCGTGAAGATCGCCTGAAGAGTAACAGGCAATCATTTCATCCGATCCTGCCTTGCATGCTTCATCATCGCTATGCTTGTAGTCTCTGTAGACGAGCTCCTGGGAGTGATCTTGTCCGAAAGCCCATCGCGAGCAACGCACCCCATCTCAGAGGAGAGCTCGAGAATTACGGTTTTGCTAAAGAGACCGCTACCGCTACCCTCTGCAAGAGCACATTTCTGCAAAGGCTCCGGGGCAAGAAGAGCCCTGTTTGCCATGGCGAGGCACGAATCCGATTTCTGCTGTCTGTGATCTTGCTTGCATGCGTGCGTGGCTCCGTGCTCTTTTGGCTAACTTCCAGCATGTCTGCCCGTGGTGAGAGAACTAGGAACGCGATTCAACTTCGGCCGACAGTCTTACTTGCACTTGATCGGAGGTACTGCATTGCCGTCTGGGGTCATTTGGCTGTTATGGCTGTTGCTCTTCGCCCCATCCTGCCTACAGGCCTACAGTTCTTGAGCCTGCTCGCAAGCCGATGCGACAGTCGCTCTGTGGAGGCTTCGGCGAGTAGCTGCGAATCGGGCACTGCCAGGCCTTGGACAAGGGCTGCAATGGACAGCCTTTCCTGGCAGAGTGCTTCCCAAGGCCGGCCCGTGTGCACTCAGCAAAGGACAAGAGCCGTGTCGGCAAGGCGGCACTGCGTAGACTGGCGTAGACAACATAAGGCAGACAAGCCACCTTCCCAGCTTGGAGAATGGCACTTCCTTCCACACCTGGCGTACAAACATCTTTGCTGTCGGCAGCCGTGCACGCATGTTTGAGAGAGAGAGGGAGGGGAAGAAAAAGAGCAAAAGAGAGGGTGTCCATGTGACCAGAGGTAAGGTCACCTAGACCTCGTGCACCAAAGCACAGGGGCTTGCTGTGCCTGATGTAAGTTTGTGTCGGGTGCTTGTGCAGCAAAGATATCCCGTCAGCACGCACTAACTTATTGACTGCGAAGCTGAACGCAGCCTTCTTGTCCGCTGCGAAGGTCACGACGACTGACTTCTTCCTGCAAAGATCACCAAGCACATCGGCTAACGGCTACTGGTAACGCATTGCAACTGTAACTGCAGAAACATGTTTAGGATACTGCGACTCTTCAATTGCCTGCCGGCTTCCCGCGATAAAGCAGGTTTGGACGTCTACAAACTGAGGCTGTCGGCCAGGAACCATGAAGCACAGCCCAACTACCGGCTCTTGCAACTCGAGGCACTTGTCATCTATCTTCGTGACATAGACCTCAGCAAGCAATGGCGATGAGTCCGAGGCCCCTAAGGGTCCTTATGAACATGCGATGGGATAGCTGCCAGGTGGACGCTTACAAAAACGAAAATGGGCCGCGATTCTCCTCGGGGCTTGTTGGGTCAAAGCAGAGCAGAGTCTTATTCAATCTTCGGCCAGCTGCTGCATGGTGCAGGCCTGATTTACGCCATTGGCTAAGCCTGGGCGCTTGTGAAAGCTATCAAAATTTTGCTCGTTCGTCCGGAAACTTCAATCCTTACTTATGCTAGATTGGGTGAAGATACGCATATGTTCTTTGTGGTCTCGAAAGACCAAGTCACACTACAAAAACCTTTCATTCTTGTCAACGACATGCACCCGTGACGAACGAGCAGAAGGACGCGAATTAGCATTCTGCAGAGACCAATGGCCGTCGGGACGAAGAAAGGATTCGGAGGGTCAAGGTTTTTGAAACCACAAACTCTTAACTTTGTGACGCACTCCTTTGAACATTGAGTCATTGAGCACGAAAGCATAGGTGCCGGGGACTGGCCTTTACATGGTACATTGGGTTGGCCAAAGGGCTCCTTAAATAAGTCCCCTCAAGCACTGCTTTTGCAGCTTCAGGGGGTCACGGGAAAACGGGCACGGCCTGCCAAGTAGGGTAGCATAGCAGTTGCGGCGCCAGGTGCGTGGCTCACCAGGATCTACGACTGTCACATTTCAGGGTATTTTAACTCATCCACCCTGAGGGTCTACGATGGAGTCTTGCAAGTGAACCGGCGAGCCGCAGCTGGGGATGCCTCCCTTCACCAACGAAAGATCTGCAGCATGGCATGTCTCATCCTTAACACTATCTAACAGCCTCCGGGCAAGAACTTACCCATCGTCAAAACCCTGCGTGTCCGGGCTGGTTCTGGAGCCAACTGACTGTTATGTTGTGCTTTGTTCGTTTGCTTCTTACTAGAGACAAGAAGCACTTCGTTTCCGGAATGGACACATCACATGCTAGGCAGAGCCCTCGTTGCCGGTACTGTAGCACAGTACATGTGCGTACAGAAAGCAAGCCAACCGTACATGTCCTGGTGCCAAAGCAGCACGCAGAAGCACGTGGCCTCTTCCTGTTGCCACTTTGTTGCGGTAGGCGCGCTCGCGAAGCTAGCTAGGCACCCCAAGAGGAGCTTATCAGAACAAACACTTCGAACATGTTTCAAGCACATTCGGCATTATATGAGGCAAGCCAGACATGACTAGTAAGAGAGATGTTTTGGCTCGCGCATCGAAATCTTACTTTCAAATCTCAATGTGTAAGAAAGCGCTTATGATCGCTTATGCATATACACATACACGTGCATACATACCCTTGTATTTTCGTTCATATTCAGAGTTAGGTAAAGGTGCGTGTGTGTGTGAGGGGTATGGGATGTGTGGGTGTATTTGCACAGAAACAGAGACACATTTGCTCAGTCTTGCTCACGCCCCTTTGGCACCGGGGCCGGTCGATACGTACAGGCCTTGGGCCGGCCCCATGTTCCATATTTCAACATAAAGGTAGCATACGAGTAAAGTACAACGAAATACGAGTACAATCTGAAACTATACTGAAATAATATAACTATAACCAAAACTTAAAACATGTTTAATATAATACATCATGGGTTTACGGAAGGTTTGCCAGGCCTCTCAGTCGGTCGCTCTTTCTCGTTCTTTCTGCGTGGCATACTGGCTTGCTTGAGGGCAGGACCGGATTACGGGACGACCCGACGACCCTACCCCGCACGCGCACGTTTGTGTGCTCTCGTTCAGGTTTAACTTCTTTCGCTTTCTGTCCTTCATCGACAGAGAGTCCAGCTCTCTCTGTCTCTTCTTCTCTTGCGGGCTGTGTGGGGGCATGCCCTCTGCTGACCCTCTCTCCCTCTCTTGTATGTATCTATTTCTCTCAGTGAATGTGTATATGTGTACACTACATATCATATCATATAAATATATAACGCCTTACGTATGTAGGTATGTATCTGTGTGTATGTATGTATGTATGTATGTATGTATGTATGTATGTATGTATGCATGTATGCATGTATGTATGTATGCATGTATGCATGTATGCATGTATGTGTGTATGTATGTGTTTTTTGGATGTATGTATGTACATAGACATGGATGCATATGTACAGGTGTACATACATTTTTAGCACTCACGCTCGGCAACGTCAGGCGAGGGTTGTAGCGGACCCAACATCAACCACCATGCATCTTCATACATGCATACATACATTAAGTCTTTCATACATACGGACAGACAGACAGAAAGACAGAGACAGATCTCACACAGACAGATAGACAGACATGCACACGCATGCATGCATGCATGCATGCATGGAGGTACTTTTCTTTGTATGCACGCATGTACGGATGTACGTTCCTTTCCTTTTCTGATTGCATTCATATCGATATTCATACGTAGGTTCCTGCATTCATACAGCTATGTATGTATAAAGGCTGTACACATACATGCATACAGATAACTCAACACATATGACTCTGTGTGTACCTCCACGTTTTTGCTCACTAGCACAGGGTTGCCTGAGCTGATGCCGGCACTGTTGGCTCTGTACAATTCTTTTCAAAGAACCAGTGCAGGCGATGTGCAAAGGGCATCTGGTTTCAACCTGCATGTTTGCCAGGCAGGCATCATAAAACTCTTCCACGGTCAGGAGACCGTGGCAGTGGCACTTAAGGAAGAGTCAGTTCGAGTTCCCCTAGAGGCTAAGACCGAACATACACGATCTGTTGTCCGGTTTGTTTTTGATATCAAATGGACTTCTGGCTGTCTGTATTCAAAGTGGCCACTGCTGGAAGGCTGCCCTTGTCTGAACCACGGTCAGGAGCCTCATGTTTAAGGCGCTGTGCTGCCAGCTTGTTGCACCTCCTCAGTAAGCAACAAGACTCGATCAGCACTCCCTGATCCAACTGGCTTTTCCAAACTTTCCTGCGTGACACCTCTTTTGCGGAACTCTGCCACCAAAAGCATGCCAGGCCAGCTTTCCCGACGCCCTGTTCGACGACGGCTGATGTGCCGAAACTTTCAGGAACTGCAGGGAAGAGGACTGTTTGGATCTGTTACTGATGTGCGTTGCTTTCACGCTTGTTCTGTCCAGATCACACTTGGTCGACGACCAAAAGTGGCATCGGCAGCTGTGGCAAACCAGGTAGCAAACAGCCCACAAACTGGAAAGGGGCCAGGTGACGGACGCCGCTACAGTAACACTACAAAGTACGGATGAGTACAGTATGCTACGCTTCTCCATGACCTCCATGGCGATCGCTTGCAAGAAAACTTTCGGAATTCGCCTGGTCCACGAATGAAACCACGTCAAGGGGCACCCTGCCCTGACTTCTGCACACTGCAAAGCCACCTTGTCTAGCGCATCTTCGCAGTGTGAACATTCCTTCGCCCAGACCTCGCTCGATTCTGTCGAGCATGCAGGCACTTACCTGGCTTTCAACTCGCAATTCCAAGTACCGCAACAGCCTTGTACATTGGATATGATGTGCACATTGGGATAAGCGGCTGGGCATGTGCCTGCTAGATCCTGCGAGAAGCCAAGGCTCCACCATCAGCGCTGATGGGGATCCGCAAAAAACTGTCGAGATTGACGGGCAGCGGTCACACGTGCGGGCTGCCTTGGCACAACAAGTGACACGAGTCAAACAGTCAAGCGGACATCCCTGGACCCCCCGACTCTAGTCAAGCCATCTTGTGCTTCCTTTCACACAACGCAAGCCCGGCGCAGCTGACATGCAGGATCAAAGCTGCGCATGTTAGGCGTGGTTGCTGCCAATGCTGCCCTGTCAACTTTGGCAATCATGCTGTGTGATCACTAGTCGCACTGCTAGAACTGCTTCTGAACTGGCGATGATGACTGCTCCTACTCGGTCTTACTATGCGTCATTCCGGAACCTCAATCCTCGGCCGGAAGTATCTGAAGACTGGCATCCCGACTTCTACCTCTAGTCAATCGGAAAGGCTGGGAGTAGTCCCGACTGGCTGGGAAACGTCGCCAGATGAACCTCAGATAGCGCAGGGATGCCAAAAAAGCGGAGCAAATCGAGGGAGCTGGAGAGCAAATGAAACCCTATGAGGGTAATTATCTAAATTAGGGTCCCTTTTGGGGGTCCTGTTTATAGGGGTGCCGTATTATATTGGGGACCTAGGAGAACTACCCATGTGCCCAGCAGCACTGACAACAAACTCTCGAGTCGCATGGGTTTTGCCGCCCACACCCAGCACTGTGCGAAGTCAGCAGGAGTCCAACGTACATCCAACCAGGCAGACGCCGTTTAGGAAAGGGGCCACATTGGACCAAACTATGGCTGAAGCTAAGCTGCTTGGTGTTCCTAGACTCTAGACGTTCCTTCGACGAGGCAGCGGTTGGGAGCTGGAAGCTTGGGAGCTACCCATGATCCTTCTCCGGTGGTCTTGTGGTCTCAGAATGTGATGAAGTCCAGAAAGAGCCATCGGCACTCTGCTGGGTGTAGCTCGGCTTTTTAGGCCTCAGGACTATGCAAATCACGAAGGGAGGCACCTCAAGGTCTCTTTGCAAGGATAGCAAAGCACCACCCGTCTCCTCTCCGTGCACAGTGTCCTGCTTCCGCCGAGGCCAGTATCGCCAGCCCAGCAGCCCGGGGATCATGGGAATCAGGTCTTGGGTCACCTTGAATACCTCCTTCTGCATGTGCTCATCCGGGCGTCGCACGAAAGCCTCCATTCGCTGCGGACCCAGGTGGTATCGCTGAGCAACAGCATCATCCTCTCTGCGAGGCCGCAAGAGAAAGTTGACCATGGGCAGCATTGCTGCCATGGTCTTGACTGTGTGAAGAGGCAGTACAGAAAAGAGGCGCGTCGACGGACCTGCCGAGAAGCAAAGCTGCATGACAGCCAACGACTGCACACAAACCTCCAAGATCTCCGAGCGCCGCATGCTCTCGAGCTCGCGCTCATCTGACTCAGTTTCGGGAGTGGCGTCGGCAATGGAAGGCTCCGAGATCTTCTCCCACCAAGTCGGAGCTGCTCGATGCTGCCCTGACTGCCCTGGCATTTCCACGTCATCCAACGGAAGCTGGAGCTGCTTCTCTCCCAGGAGAATCTGATCCTCAGCGGGGGTCACCACTGGCGGTGGCAACGGCCCGCCGATGCTCTCCAAGGGAGCCGGCTCTCCCAGAAGAGCCGGAATGAGTGAAGCACCAGGAAGCTCCGATAAAGCATTGGAGCCGTCACGGAGGCGCCCGAGAAGAGTGGGCAACACCTCTGTGAGAAGTGCCGCTGCTACCTGTAGAAACTGCCCCGGCAGCTCTCGCTGAGAGCTGCGGCGGCCGCGGACGGGTAGGGCCCAGAGCGCCTGGCACTTCCCGCTGCCCAGCAGTTTCAGAGGCGCCTCCTCCCCAGCAAGATAGAGGTGCTTTGCATGGCGCTTCAGTGGCATCTCTGGTCTCGCGACAGTTTGCCGCAAACCAGGATCCTTGTATGTACGGGCTGCGCGGAGGATCACCTGCAGCTGCGACGCAGGCTGCTCGGAGCGGAACTGTGTACGTGGGCGCTGCGCACCGGAAGCACCTGCTTGGCAGGAGCAACCCTGGCATCCAAAAGTGAAGGCCTTGGCTACGGATGTGTCAGCCGCAAGCGTCAACGCCAAAGCTGCATCTGAACAGGCACGAGGCCCCCATTCGCGCGCAGCGGCTGCCAGACTCTGGGGGAGCCCTCGCGCCGCCTGGGTGCCAAGAACACGTCGGAGAAGATCCGGATGCCAGCCACACACTTCGAAGAACTCCTTCAAGTCCTTGTTGGTCATGTCGGGCAAAAGGGCGGTGTATCTGCAGCCAAGCATGATCTGCGTGGCAGCAGGCACACGGACTGGAGCCAACCCGAGGCTCCTCAGGAGGCCAGCGAGTTGCTCTGGACCCCAGGCAGCGAGAACTTCGGGCTCTTCTCTGATGTGGATAACGATCTCTCGCAGCAATCCGGTGTGGTAATGCTGCACCTTGGACATTGATGCAGCAAGCCGGGCGATCCCATCCTCGGGGAGCTCCGTGAAAGACCGCTCCAGCAGCAAACGCAGAAAGAGCGTCTGCAAAGCGACTTCGTGGACACTCCCAATGTTGGTGAAGGTCTCGATGACCTGGAGTGCCTGCACGGGGCTTAGGAGCTCTGCGTGCTCAGAGATGCGGCGGCCGAGGCTGTGGAAAGCCTTCTTGTGAACCTCGCCGAGTTTCCATGTCTGGAAGTGTGGCAAGAGATCTTGCAACTCGCCGGGTCTGAAGCACCAGGGATTAGCTGCTAGATGCTGGGCGATCTCTTCACTGAGCTCGGGAGAGTAAAGGCCTGCTTCTGCCAAATACCGACCGCACTGCGCCAGCGAGCAGGCATCCATTTGCGACGAGGCTTCTTGCAGCCGCATCAGCAAAAAGCTGCGAACAGCTGGGTCTCGGAATGCCTGCGGCCCAAGTAGGGACAGCGACTCAATCAGCTGGAGCACCTCCACGGGCGAAATGCTCAGATTTGGTGGTGCACTGAGGCAAACCAGTCCCAGGACTTTGATGCCTTCATGACAGCGAGTGCGGGCAAAAGCGTCTGCAAGGACCACAGCCGATGTACCTGTCGTCAGAACGGAGTCTGCTTCCTCGTCACGACTCAGCGAGACTGGCAATGCGAGTGGGCGCTCCGCTGCAGCCTCACGCAGTGGAGCCTCCAGGCAGGACGCTACCTCCTCGAAGAATCTCCGAGGAGGTGGCGGCGCGTGACGTGCAAAGCGTAAAGCCAAAGAGGCAGCATCCTCGAATGTAAAGATGCCGGCCCTCACACCTCCCCCTCCTCCTGCCGATGGAGCCTGGCACCGCACGCTGAGGCCCTCGAGGAAGCGAGAAGCCGCCTGCGAGGAGTCACCGCCGCGTCGAAGAAGTCGAGCCACCTCCAGCGCCTTCATATGCCTTCATGTTCCGCGCAGGGACGGCTGCAAAGGAGCATCCGTCCCATCGGGCACTTCCGCGAAGCGGGAACCGAGCACGACAAGACAAAGTCTATCAGAGCTATCTACTCCCCCTAGATGCTCTGTAGTTCTTTCGGTGCATGTCGACGACTGGGAGTATTCCAGCAAACAAGGCAACACCTCTGTAACTCCACATCAACGCGACGAAGGCTTTTGCTGGGCTCTGGTGCATTATGGTGATGGCGATGCTGCATAAATCCGATTTTCGAACATCGAGTTGTTGCCTCAGGGCGAGGGCTTGGGAGTAAATCAATCGGATGGCTTGAGCCGATCCTCCTTGCACATGCCCCAAATGGTCAACTTGTGTATGTATGTTTGCACATGTCTCTCTTGTGACTGGCATACCGCAGCATGCCAGACATCATTCAGAGTTACGGTTTGCAGACACCGCCTTCACGACTTGGCATACTGTTTTGCAGCATCAGCCCGTAGCTGTGCCACCCATACTGCTACCGCTCCTGCTACAGCACGAAGACCGCTACAGCAAGATCCCGACACCAGATCGTCTGAGTGGCGCAGGCCCTGGAACGAGATATCCACGTCGGCCAAACAAGGTCGACCTGCACTGCTGCACGGCACAGCAGGAATCAGCAGGATGCCATGTTGCATTTTCTGTCAGAAATGCATGGATGTCAGGCCGAACAGCATCACCACAACTTCGCCTTCCTCACATCCTATGGCTTTCCATACTGTTGGGTTAATGGTGATGCCGATGTGCAACTGCCGAAGCTCTTGCAAGAATGCCACCGACTGGCGAGATATGAGCGAGAAGTTATCAGTTGCACAGCCAACCGAGCTTGCTGGCTCTATCAATAGACGAGTGGCCCATCCACCAAATCCTTTCACACGTCTTTTCCCTGACCCGCACACCGAGGAGCCTGTACCATGCCGCAAAGGCAACCTGCGATGTGGGCGCTGGTTGCTCCACCTTGGATGGACATTGGATCGACACCAGGTGGGCTGATGCTCGTGCTTGGATACACCCTTATCAGGCAGCCAGGTTTAGCATGATGAGAACCTGCTTTCATGCGGTGCCATAAACGCTTTGTGGCCCCTTACTACGAAACATCTGTATCAGGTAACGCAACATAAACAGGTACTGTACTGTAGAGCAAACCTAGCATGATATTAATGGAAGTGGACTGTGTAGGGCATGAAAGGGCGTGACATGACGATCGATTTGTATGTATATTTATTGCTTTGCATCAAGGTTTTGAACACTATGTCACACTGACACTGTCCCACAACGGCGCTCCTCGCAAATTGGCGTTGCATCAAACACGAGTGTTGCTCCTGAGTGGGCATAAGAAGAATTTTGTGTAACGCGGAATTCCCCGACGGCCCAACACATGTAAATTTTCACAAGAAAAAACAGTCGTGGTCACTGCAAGGTCAATGCAAGGCGCACGGCATGGCCCGTTGCCTCCAGCTCCTGGGCAGGGCTGCATAATTGGTGCATGGGCTGCGTCTTACTTGCACATGCAAGACGTGACCACAAAATAATCAGAGCCCACGTCATTCTACGAGGAGCCTTCCCAATAAGAAACCGAAATAAGTAATGGCATAGCGAGATCTTCCGTGCTCGCCGTATCCGGTTTGCCGCGCGCGGCACACATCCCCAGAAGCATGCAGAAGCTGCAACCAACATTGCGAGACCGCCAGTAACAATAGCAATAAAGTTGGCAGCAAACCCACCAATCCAAGTACAGCAACTGAGGAAAAATTATGCTCTGCATCTACAAAACCCAGTACTTCCATAACAGCCAGAAAGCAAAGACGATAATTGCGCTGAATTACGATGATACTGTACGAGCTGCCGAAAAAAAGGTGAAACTAAGATGAACCTCCGACGACGAATGGCCCGCCTTGTGAAGCTCGAGGCTGGAAGAGCCTAGGACTTTGTCGTGACCTGATCCCAGGAGAAGAACATATAATAAATATATATATATATATAGATATAATTATATATATATATAGACTCCAGGTCCAGATTAGCGGCTCTGTCACGAAGCAAACTATTCTTGGCATCTGAGGGTATCTAGGGCTTCGACCGTCCAGCAACTCGAGCTCCAAAGTTCCGGAATCCTGCCAGGCTCCAAAGGCCCCAGACTCGGACAGGGACTTCGACCTTCCACGTCTGACTAAAAAAGCACCGTGCTCTCCAGATCCGTTTTGTGAATGAGCATGTAGAGCACATTCTCGATGTCCAACTCAATCGTTCGAGGGTCCTGTCCAAAGTGCTGGCAGTGCTCTCGCGGGGGGGCGCCCTTTTGGCCTGCAGCCCCGCCTGCTGAGTCGGGTCTCGCTTAAACCACGCCACCTCGGGCGTCGACTTCTTAACCTTGCCAGGGAGCCATGCTAACATCTGCTGCACAAGGTAGACTTCCGGATCGAAGATGTCAGAGCCTTCCCGATGCTGGCACACATGCGAACTTGAAGGGGGTCCAGTTCGCTGGTTTTCCGCAGATCGACCAACTGCGTAGGAACCTCCACTTCCTTAGGTGGTGACTTGCAGAAGCATCGCATGTGAATCATCATAGTGTCATCATAGTGTGAACCCACTACACGGAGTTCTGGCCAAGCGGCATCGAACTTCACACGCAGCACGCAAAAGCCGTCAGGACCCTTGCGCCCATGCCTGGCAGACATGCACTCCCTCATGAGTCCATTCGCCGAGGAACAGTTTAAAGGTGTCGGCATGCTGCCCCATGGCCATATTGGCCAGCGCGAGGCCCAAGACTCACAAGACTTTAAAGGATCTTCAGACCTGACCCATGCCACCTTTACAAGCATGTACTGGCGAGGAAGTCCATAAATGAAGCCAGCCCTGTCGGGGGCCTGACAAAGTTCAGCCAGTCCAGGCGAAGCTCCACATTTCCGGTCGGATGACGTGGATGAGAGGCAGCCTTCAATTCTTCTCCAATTCCCTCGGTCATAATGTAGCTACCTTTAGCTCCACGTAAACGTCCTAAACTTCGACACCAGGCCATGTCCAGCTGGACGGTGCACTGGAGCATTGGCATCTTCAAACTACGCCCTCGCTCTTAGTCAGCACTCACGGGACGATTGAGGCCTTCGGTGTGTTTGAGCTCTCCGGGCAGTCGAAGAGAGCAAGGGGGATTTCCGAGTGCGCTTCCTCAGCAAGTCACGACGGGTTTCGGCACTCACGCCGGAACATTCCACACGACACCCAGCAGGTTTAGGAGTTTAGGGACAAGGTCGGACGCTCGCAACTCCAAGTGGGGCTGCTCGATTTTGGGGTTGAGAGTATGCTCGGCATGGGCGATGCCTTGCCATGCAGCGACAGGTACCCTGTGAAGGTGCATTTCTTAAATTGCTTGATCAGGTGCTGTGTCTGTGGCCAAGATGGGGTCAGCGTAGCCAATGACCTTAGCAAAGGAGTTGATGCCACGAAGGCAAATCATGAGCTTCACGCAACTCCACTCAGGAGCTTGTCACGAGCCAGGCCACTTTGCGCAGAAAAAGTGAGTTCGTGTCAACGACTTCAATGCCCAGTGTTTGGCGCTTGTCGTATACCTGACAACATCACGACAACGAGTGCGCATGGCTTGCAAGTACCAGACCAGTACATACCAATACGGCACATCTCTGTCCATGCACGTCGATGGCGACACGAGCTGGAGAATGCCCCTCAACGGATTATCATATGCTGCACCATTTGCTGTTGACATGCTGCCTGGTTTGATTCCACGGCTCCCTGGCAAATGCATGCACTTCAGAACCCAGACCACACATTCAATTCAAAGGGGACGTAGCAGCATGGGCTTTGCTGGACAGTTGGCCATGAGAGTCATGAGAGATCCCGTAGTACGACTCCACGCACGGCCGCCAGAAGCAGTACCAGAAGTAGGTAACTGTGATTCCACCCTGTATCAATTGGTGACTCAAGCAGTCCCCCAGACTGCTGGAGCCACGCAGCCTATGACGAGCGATGCTGGTCCTATTCCTACAAGTAGCGAAGCGAAAACTATTGGCCATCGTCAGTACGAACTTGTGCATGCAGTATTCTTTGCAACCAGCACATGCCGAGCAACGAGGAAATCATGGGTCTCATCCCACTCAGGGTTCAAGCTTGACCACCTCAGAATACTCAGACATATGACGACTGTCAGGGCCATTGCGCCGGCTTGAAGAGGGCTGCTGGAAATGCCAGAACGCCAGTGCAACTATGTAATCATCCACGATCTACCGGGAGAGCTCGATAGATGCAGTCGAGAAACACTGCTGAAGTCTGCCATTCCTCTCCCGCAAGAGACAAACTCAGGTAGGGACCTCAGCATACATAATCACTGCGTTCGGTAATTCCAGAACTCGACCAACGAACAGTGACACATCGGTGCAAATGGTTTCGTGATTATCATTTGAGGCTATGCCAGTTAGACTCCTCACAGCCAATCTCCGGCAATGGGTGCCCATGACAGGTGATGCCTGTGCTCGCACTTCGCATTCGATGAAGCTGATGCTCATGATGCGTGCCCAATTTCGGCGCAACGATCAGCCCTCCACAACGGACAGTGACCTCCCAATTCAAGCGCTATGCACCTACCAAGCTCCGATACTAAAGCAACTACTTGATATATAAATATAATACAACGTATTTTGATATTGTAAGAGAATAATACATATATATATATAATAACACTAGTCTTAAAATATATGGTAGTGTTACAATCAAAAGTATTGATAATCATAAGAAGAAGAATACGACTAATAATAATAACAATCGTTTTCAAAATATAATATAGTAACCATAATCTTGATGATGATAATGATAACAACAATAATAACTTATATGTAAATATATAATACACCTTGGGCGCCGGCTTCTGGAGCGCTTCAGAGGCCAACCTTCACGAAGGTTGGTGGCACGCACGGCAGTGACGCGAAGCACACCTGCTCTGCGCAGGGATCTGGTATGACCGAAAGCCCTAAACTCCCCAAGTGATATGATCTGATTGTTTTGAAGCGAAAAAACCCTGGGGAACTTGGTCTTGGCGAAATAAGCCCCTATGCAGAGACCAGGATACACCGCTTGCATTCTGTCGTGTTGTCAGACTGAAGCAAGAAACTGTTCTGCTGACCCCAGCCACGACTTCTTGGCGAAAAACAACAGAAGCAGTTACTCAGCACCGGCAAAGCTTCTCGACAGATCCCCTATGAGTGTACCATCACTCCCACATAACGCATCATTCACATCAGACCGCACATCGACTTCGTTCCACGGCCCTCGCAGCCTATGGGTTTCGGATGCGCCAGAAGAGCTCGGTCCACGCTCTGCGCCTCCGTGCCGATTGGGACGGGAAACCTGCAGAGACTTGACTGCGCAGGCCAAGCTTAAGGTGGGAAGTCTTTCGAGGGTGGAAGCGTGTGGTCGAAAAGCTGCGATTGGCTGCTAGCTTCATAAGGCCTTTAAAATGCTCTCAAGCCCGACGATTCCGACCAACAGCTGAGACGCCACATCTGCTGTTTTCACAGGAAGACCAACCGGTCTCGAAGCCAAGTAGCACGTGGGGCAGCACTAGAGCACTTGCAAACGCCACGTCCACCATCTTCTGGAAACGGTTGGCCAGCATTGTGCTCTCAACACCTGCGCCAGTGGGTGCCATGCCCGGTTTCACGGCTGCCGCGGGTGTGTCGACCCTCAGGCTCAGCCCGTGGCCCACGCCTGTGCTACAAGATGCTACGAGTACAAGTATCTGGTGGCTGGGGCCCACGCAGTGCGCAACACCGCAATACTGCAACTCCAGGTCTGGCGGGTTCAGGAAGCATGCTACCTTGGCCACTTGTTATTGGCCCGGCACAAGCCATGCGATTCAACCTGCATTTTGTCATTGAATGCTGCTGCTTGCTGACCGGGGATCGACGCCACCGAGAACGGGCACCTCTTCCAGCAGTGGACCCAAGCGAACCAGCAATTGACCCTGCACTCGGATCCGATCGATACCCAAGTTGGCGCCATGCCTTCGATTTGACATGAGAACTGACCAAAACAAATCCTGCTGATCCATCCAATTCAGGAACCGACGTGGCCCCTGCTTTTCAGGAACCGTGACTTCGGCTATGGGACAGGCGACACGCTCAGCTCCATGTGTGCATTGGTGTCCAGCTGAAAGCCGACCTCCGTGGCCCCGCGTCCCACTGCAATTTGTGCTTTTTCCCTCCCAATTTGTGCTTTAGGCCAAAAGTGCGGACTGGTCGAGCCTGCATCTCGATGCCCGCACTTCGATGGCCACGGAGGGTCTCCGCCACCTCAAGCGCAAGCGAGTTTTGTGGGTTCGAGCTGACGTCCGATTGGCTTCCGAGGCACTGAGATCGGTCCGAAAGCAGGTGGAGTATCCCCCAGGCGGAAATACTTGAAGTGGATGTCCTCCAGATATCGGGGCTTCAGCTTCCAGAGCTTCCCAACAGAGACTCTTCAAGCTCTCTTTCGGACACAGGCCAGGTCCTTCAAGGGGCCAGGCAAGCGAGCCTGCATCATCTGTGTGATCAGGCCAAAGCGGTCTTCCATCATCCGTGCGATGATTACGGAAATCTTCGGGTGGAGCTTGCCTCGGCCCGAGCCAGAGCCAGCGGGTCTTGAGCCTTGAGGCTTATGACCTGCGGTGCTGACCTGGGTCCCCAAATCATCCAAGCAGCCATAGATGAAATTGACCCACTGCAAGGAGAAGGACCGATCAACCAGGGCAACGCTCTCCTCACCTTCGTCTTGCGAGGTCTCGGTGTCCGAAGGCGCGTCCTGAGTTGTAACATGGGGAGGATGTGACACATCATCTCACTGTCCTGCACACCCTGGCTCTGTCTTCCTCTCTCCCTCTCTCTCTCTCTCTCTATCTCTCCCCATCTCTCTCCACGCAAATCTGCAAGACCAGGCCGAGCCAATGCAGCTCAAAAACATCTGCGGTAACCTTGATCGCCAGCCGCTTTATGGCATCCTTGTGCTTCACCCTATGAAGTCCCATGAGACGCACCTGGACCTGGGCAGTTTTTCCGATAGAAGCGACATTCTCCAGAGGCTGATGCGAGCGGCCTCTGCGGAGATTCGCTGGTCGCTTTGATCCTCCATGTGCATGTTGCACCTCGGCCAGCATCTGGGAGTGTTGTGAGTCACAAGCTCGCTCCTCCGCATGGCTTCCGTTCACATCTGGAGAAAGAACATGAGAGCCGGGGCGCGGTTCGAAGGAAATGGCGCGCATGGGCGCTCGCACCAGATGGTGCAGTTGGAAGGCATGCCGCGCGATCACTTGGCCTATGGACCAAAATCCGACAAGCCTAAAGCTTGCATGTGGGGGTAGCCCTAAGCTCACTCAAGAGCAATCAAGGCCCTACCTTTGTCATTCAAGGCGGCGATCTCCAAGCTTTGCGTTTCCAGGGCTAACCTGGAGACTGGCATTCGAAGGATCGTCTCGATCTCCCCCTTGGCCTCCTGGAGTTTCGCATACAGGGTCTGGGTCTGCGGTTTTTGGGGCCAAAATGTAGGGAGTCCAGCTCGTGAAACGCCGCAAGGCCGCAAGGCACTGGTTTTGCGCATAGATTTCAGCGAAGCCATCTGGCCATCAAGGCAGGTCAGGCCTCAGGCCATGACCGCCAGCATTTCAACGGGGTTCAACGATTCCGGGAGCCTGCCACAATCTAGGAAGACGTCTCAAGCCACGACACTCCTCGGAGGAACATACGGACACTGCAAGCCTGGTGGATATGCGGAGATGAAGGTACCCTCCATGCAACAGCTCGACGTGCAGCCCTCAGCAGGTGCATGCAGTGGAGCTGCGTGGTACCAGGACGCGGAGAACACTGCCGATCCCGGTTGTAAATAGACCTCGGCACACGGCTTCGCAGCCGGCGCGGGCCCTTTGTAAACAAGTTCGACGGGCTTGGTGGGGAAGAGCTTCCCCTTGCATTCATCAATCGCTGCCGACAGCTCGTCTCTGGGTTTGCTCAAAGTGGAGATGTAGCATTCGATCCTCTGAACAGTCCTCCACTCTGCCTTTGCTGCCACCTCTGTCTGCTTTGCCAGGCTGTCAATGTCTTCATAGATTTCCACCTTTTCGGAGTAGCATTCCGCGAACTTGCCGCAAGTGTAGGTCCTGTGTAACTCACAAGCTCGCTGCTCAAAGGCTGCCTGCTTCTTCGAACAATCAAGACGGGTGTCCCAGTAATGGCACATCATCTCTTTGCACAGCTCCATATCGGCGAAGGGTGTAGCGGAGGCATTTTGGCATTTGACACGCTTGTCTACTACCGCCTCATACTCGCCCTTGAAGTGTGCAGCCATGCCCTTCAAGTAGTTGCCAATGGTTGGAACTGGCGTGCCCTGCTCCATGACACAGGTGCTCGTCGGACTTGGTAGCTGCTGAGCCTGCATGTAGACGTTGCAGAGAGCATGAATCCGATCCACATAGATCTGCCAGCCCACCACGCAGGTCGTCTGAAAGTTGACATAAAGGTCGGCCTCCGTCTGACGACACTGGATGTGCTTGGCATCCAGATCTGCTAGCTCCTCCACAAACTTGGTGTCGTTGGGGTGGCTGCAGCTAGTCAAGTTCGCCCAAGCCTGGTCCACATCAATCTGGGTCTGGTTCATGCGCAGCAGGATGTTCTTCTTCATGCTGTTGTCGATTAACTGCTGTATCTCCTTGAGAAACGCCGTCAAGTTTGTTGCGGCCGAGTCGCTGCGCTCCGACTGTAGCTTGGCCATATTCAAGACAGATGCTTCCATGTTCGCCAGTGTGGCCTTCTCGGGTGCCATGGCCTTCATTCGAGCGGACATCCTCAGCTCGGCAGACGTCATCTTGGTTCTCCGCAGCCGGAGCGTGGCTGCATCAAGGCGGAGGAACAAGAATGCAAAGAGCAGGCTCGAAAGCCAAGTCTGCATGTTCTTCATTTTGGCTCCGGACTCCGGGGTCCAGGCACGGGGCCTGCAGTTCCCAGCTCCCGCGACATTCTCGAGCCACTCGGCTACAAAACGCCTCGTGAGGGCTCATCAGAGCGTAAGTTCGAGTATCCAGCTGACGAGTCCCGTCGTGCCGGTCCATATGGTGTTACGATGGGGCAAGTGGTCCACCACAAATCCCGAAAAAAATCATAACACGTGTACATATGGATATATATATATATATAGTAAGACACAACAGATACTAGATAACAGATGTGAAATAGAAAATGGAACGTAGATAGTAGGCATAGATTCATATGTATGTATGCCTGCATCTACTGCACGTGTGTGCAGCATACTTTTCATACGTATGTATGTATGTATGTATGTATGTATGTATGTACGTGCGTACGTATGTATGTATGTATGTATGTCTGTATTTATATGTCAGTATATGTGTTGTTCTTAACTTAGATAGGCGTGTGCTCCCGTCGCTTACCCCATCAGAACGAGCCGTCTGCTCGCATACACCAACTTGTACAGTACCTTCACGTCTTTGACTGTGTATACCAAGGCACGCGCCACGAAATGCCGGCAAGGAACGAAGCAACAGATTTAATGATTCGTAAACTGGCGGTGTCCATGTCATCCATGAACTGCTGTAAAAGAGGCCTCTCAAATTGCCCTGCAACAGGAACCATTTGGCAGCGGAGCATTCGACGCTGCACGACAAGGTCTGGGAATATCCAGATGCATATAAATTCTGAAGTACACGTTCATGTATGTCTGTGCATGTGAAACATGTCTGTATGTCAATATGGCTGCCTGTGGCATGCAGCTAGGCACACGGTATACGTCTATACGCCGTTCGAAGTACAGACGACGTGTGGCACTCGGGACTGGATGCAATGAAAGCAGCAATTGACACTTGCCACGACTTGAGCCCCTAAGTCCTGGAAGATGCTCTGGGTGCGCGAAATGGATTGTCTCGTCTTCCCATCTTGCTCAGCTGCCTGAAGGAGTCGGAGCCGGCAGATTCATGTGGCTTTCGGCTGGAACACGGGGTCTGGAAACGTGCGCACCTGGAGCAGCATCGGAAAACACTGACAAAATTCTTTCCTAGAAACTGTGGGCGGCCTCTGGGGCTTTGCAGCGCACCAATGGTGTCCGCAACTGTTCTTCGCCCACTCGCACGGACAATGCGATCTGATCCATTTTAACAGTCTCCGGCACGAAGACCTCCGTGGCGAATCACTTGTAATCAGGCCACAGTGGCAACAGCTTATACCAGAAAGCACAAGACAAAAGCTTCTGCACTTCAGATAATGTTCATGGCCTCGTCAATGTGGAACTGCAGCAAACCTTCATCGTAGTCCACCTAAAGTATTCGACTGCTGGGACACTTATCGACACGATCTCCCCCACAACGCTGGGCTGTTGCATCATGGCCCAAATGGCCAAAAAGCCGAGCTGCTGAGTGTGGGATGATCCTCAGCACAGGGTGTGTGATGGGAATCAAGGCCGTGGTCGTCTAAGCCTTCGTCATGGCCGGATAGGACCGGTGACTCTCTTCTTCATCTCTGGACATTTTCATTTGCCCTGCCAAGACACTCCAGCCACTCGACGTGTAGTGTGACTGCACCGAGGGAAACCTGCCATCCGATTCGCAGCTCGCTCCATAGGCGCGCTACAGACTGAATTGGCCCTAATGGTTGACACAATCGGGGCGCATAGCTCTGTCAGTGGCAATTCTCCTTTCCAGATACTGGGCCACATGTCGCGCAGTGGAACAATCCCAAACAACGCTTGACCACGATGAAACTTGGACGGCTGGGGTTGCATGCAAAACCCGGATCCCCAGGCCAGCCTCTGCGTTGTTTGGCAGTTCGTGCAGATTCATTTGCACAGAGCCGTTGCAGACACCTGCGCGTTCCGGCGGAAGTGAAGTGTCACTTTGCCGACACCTTTGGTGTCCTTCGTCATCCCCTTCAGCCCGGCCATGGCGGAAATGTTTAGAAGATACAGGCAGTGCATTGCTGGCTGGAGTGTGGAGCCGTCCATGAGTTGGGAAGCCTGGTCTTGCAGCATTCCCCCGGCTGACTCCGTACTCCCGGTGTCGAATTGGGACGCTAAACCACTGCTGGTACGATGACGCTTCGATTCATAGCAATACTGTCATCATGATCATCATCACAGAAGAAACAGTAGCCAGCCACCGTGTCAAAGCATCGTTGCCATGATACAGCATGGTGAAAACATGGATAACAGAAAATAACGAATCCTTGCAATGACATCACTAAGAATGTTCTGCCTCCTGCATTGCTGAGCGTCTCAGTGAGTGATAGTCATGATATGGCCAGCGCTAGACACCAAGAAGTGCTCGTGCTATATGGGGGTTTCCCAAAATAGGGCACCCTAATAATATAGTACCCTAAATAGTAGGATCCTTACTATAAGGACCCCAAAATAAGGTACCCCTAATTTCCGGAAACTCCCATATAGGGCCAGACGGGTCCGCCTCCCCAGCACAGCAGCTCTGAGATCTTCCGCTTCTTCGTAGCGCCGAGGGAGCGAGGAGATCCCCAACGACCCACGTCGCTGACTGAGACCTCGCCGGTAAGGGTTTAGGGGTTTAGGGTTTAGGGTTTATAAGGTATAGGTAAGGGTTCTAAAATCCCCAGGGCCCATCCTAGGGACGGCTTTTTGGCCTCCAGCTTGTCAAGATGGCGTTTTGCAAACTTCGCTCGCTTGAATCCCTCGTAGGACAAGGCACACTAGAATCAGCACTTCTGTGGGTAAGACGGCTTGCGGTCAGGTTTAGGTGTTGAAGTGGGCCTTCGCACGACGCACCTGCCCTCTAGACAAATGGAGCCAGTGCATTGCCGGACATCTCCGTGCGCGAAGAAGAAGCAAGCAGCAACAAACAGATCATTGGACAGACTTGAACTACTGACAACTTCCGGACTGGGTGGCCACGTCTTGCAATCCAGACTCTTGCAGTTTCTGGTTGTAGTCAAAGACGAAGAAGTCGTGCATATTCCTGCCGCCCGGGACACATCTCAACAAAGCTCACGCCAAAAGCCGTACCTGAAGAACACCGACCTCCCGAGGACTCGAGGACGTAAGACCATATTATAGCTCCCACTGAGCAGTACTGTACCCAAACTCAAGCCTGCACCTTTGACGACACCAGCAATGTCCATTGAAACCCTGGCATGCAGAAGATCTTTCACCTCAACCTCTACAAAATTCTCCGTTTGCGGGAGGGTGAGGGCAGGGGCTCCTGGCAAGATGGCGCGCTGAGGAACTGCCCTCGGGCTCGAAGCGCACATCATACCTCGGGCTTCCCAAGTTCCCAGAGACTCCAATATCCCTTAAGTAAGGAATATAGCCTAAATTATAGTCGGATCCTTAGTATGATTTAAGGTATATTCCTTAATTAAGGGGTATTGGAGTCTCTGGGTTGGTAACAGGCGGCCTGAGCTCGTTTCCTGGGTTGAAAAGGATTCTAGACTTCTCCCTTCTCGCGTTCCCTGTTATCAAATTCCAGCCTGCAAGCAGAAATCGCTAGAAGCAGAGGAAAGAAACTGCAGAAACTTATTATTCCCCAAACCCTAAACCGTGAATATTATTAGCCTTAATAGGCCCTTCAGGCGAGTGGACGGCAGCAGCTAGAAAACAAGTCAGCCCGAGTCCTAAAGGTCTCCGCCGCAACATCTGGCTGAAGCCCGTGCAACTGAAAGGCCTGGCCCTTTTGCTTCCGGTCACTAGCAAGACAGAAGGGGCTCCTGTACCCATCTTGTGCAAAGGGGTGCTGGAGAAAAGAAGCTCTCTGAAAGCATCTGGTGACACTTAGTGTGTCTCCAGTTCCAGTGGAGACAAATGCGCAAGCATGGCACTGCAGAGATCCATGCTCGTTCGGTCGCAGTCGTCGTGTCATCGAATGCCAGGAACCTGCCGTCCAGTGCAGAAGCAGTCCACGGCTTTCGTGCTTCGCTTTGTTGCATGAATACTACATCCCTCTCTCGCCCGTGACGCAGGGAAACACGTACCACGCTGCAGGGCCCGTCCTGTGTTGGTTGTGTCAAGATCCTCCTCCACGAAGCCCAGACTCTGATCCCAGGCCAAGCCGGGATACCACACCTCCAGACCTGGGAAGGAGGCTTGGGTTTAGAGATGTCGTGCTCTCATCGTAACTCAGCACCATCGTCATCATGCTCATCGTCACCATGATATCTTACGGCATTGTCTTACCGTCATCACCATCACCAGCACCTGCGAGGAATCGCGAAGGGTTGTTGGAGGGGTGGTGTTGGTGGATGTAGGAGTCGCGGGGTTTAGGGTCTCGCGACTAGGACCCGTGCGAGCCTTCGGTGAGACTCCCGCAGCTCCAGGAGGCTAAAAAATACGGCCTTCTTTACGACTTCCCGGTGCCGCCAAGAGGTTTTTGAGGAAGTCCAGGAGACCCTTTACTGGAGTCTTGGCAGAAGTTGCAGTGTCAAGTGTTGCTGCCCCGTTGCCACTTGCATGGCCGGCGGCTGTATGCTACTTTCAGGTGCCGCAAAGAAAAAGCCGTCGACAAGACTAGGAGCAGCTTGAGTGTAATTACTTTGTCGAGGGGGAGGTTCTGTCTGCTTCGGCACAGGGCCAGCGTTGCAAAAAAGGAACCCTTCATCCCCCAACCCCGAGCCCCGAAGGAAACCCGAACCTGGTAGCAAAACCCGAAACCTCCGGCGCGAGATCCAAGATTTCGATACAAAAGCCAAAAACAGGAACCGTGCGCATTTCCGGCCAGAGCAGCAGTGCTTATGAAATCGTTCCTATTCCTCAAACCAATTTTTCCGATTCGCAACATATTCTCAAAATCAAACGTAGGGCCTACACAGCGACATTGCTGCTAGCCAGCTTCCTAGCCAGGCTGCGCAGCATGTGGTCGTCTTCTCCCACAGGGAAATCGAGCTCGTTACCTCGATGGTTGATTTGGTTGATTGCTCCTTTTTCGTCCCAAGCATTAAACCCGAAACCCTAACAAACCCTAAACCCTAACAATGGGACTACGGGGCTTCGACTTTCACAAGTTTTCGGATGGGGTGAGGATAACGGCTGAAGCCGGCAGCCTAACGGAGCTTTCGAAGCCGCCGATTGCGGACTGAGTGGCTTGGGCTGTGTCTCTGTAAAGTTCTGGCCTTCACCCGACTACAGTAGACACAAGCTCCGTATGGTTGTTGATACAGGTAACAGCTTTCTGTTGTGGCTTCTGGCCCAGGTTTCGATGCTAATCTCCCAAAGGGAGAAATGCGGCTGGGCATGGTGAAGGACAACTTTCGAGCCGCGGCAAGGCTAGAGCCCAGAGCTCCTCCGACTTTCAGCCAGGCAGCTGTCGGTCCTCAGTTGGAACATGGCACCATAGGGCTCAAGTACGAGCCATTCGCGACATGCATCTGCAAGCTCAGGTGATGCACAGGAGCGCGTGCTCTTCTGTCCCGTGCAGACCCATTAACTCAGTGACGAGGCACCACCCTGAAGTGAACCAATGAGGCACGGCAGTGGTTCGCTGTTGCTGCTGCCCCACCTCGCCGGGATGTGCAATGCATCAATGGCAAGGTTGTGGCTGAGTAGTGAGTACACGTGAGTATCACTTTGACAGCACCATGTGCGCTTGGGCACCACTACCGGTGTGGGAACATCCAAAGAAGAGTACGGGTGCTTTGTGCTTCGAACGAAAAACTACCAGGCAAGCAGGCAGTCACACAACGGCCAGCCTGCGCCGTGATGTAGCAGGGGTTAGAGCTGTGGCTGTCGGGAAGCCCGGTGGCCCCCTGAGCTGAAATTGACGAGAACTCCTCTGCTCTCATCTGGGCTGGCCGAAACAGACGCATTTAGATTGGATGCCGGGTTCATGATGCTGAAGAAGCTGTCAGGCGGAGCCAGCTAGCACGTACAAGTCAGTAAAGCATGTTTCACTGTCCCGCAAAAGCAAAAAAGAAACTCTTACACAGCAAGACAAGCACGAACGCCTCCGTCCCAAGAATGCACTCCCCGCCGCCGACCCGCAACCCCCACGTCTTCCAAGCTGGCGTGGGAGAGTCAGAATCAGAGCTTTCCACGAGTCAAATATCTGGTCTCCGCTATCAGCAGCTGCACGCGACCAGGCTGCATGGATGCGGATGAAAACTCGGCCTCGAGTAGCTTCAGCGCCTCAGTGAGTCTGATCGTTCACAAAGCCGGGTGGCCCAGCACCACACTCAGCTCCATTTCGTTTGTGATACTGCTTTTGCTTTTTTCATCTGCTGACAGGGATCTGAAATGGTAAATCTCCTCGCTGCGGCGGTCGAGCACGGGGGTGCGCCACTCCTCTGCACTACGAAGATGGGCTTAGTTTTGACCACTAAACCCCTCAGTGCCAAACCCCAAAAAGTTTGTGGCCGTAAAGGTTAGCTTTTTGCACACCAACGTAACAAACTCATGTGCACGGCAGGAGAAGGACGCAAGCGAACTTCTCTGGCTCAGCACCCCCTGCCTCAGCGCTGAGCTCAAGTCGGACCTGAGAGCCCTAGGGTTTAGGGTTTTTTGCCTCCTACATACATATAATATAATATAATATAATATAATATAATATAATATAATATAGTATAATATAATATAATATAAAAAAAATATATAACAATAGAATATAATATAATATAACATAACATAACATAACATAACATAACATAATATAACATAATATAATATAATATAATATAATATAATATAATATAATATAATATAATATAATATCATATCATATCATATAATATAATATAATATAATATAATATAATATAATATAATATAATATAATATAATATAATATATGTATATATGTATTTGTATATATATATATATATGTATATATATATATATATATATGTATATATACATATATACACACATCTATACATATATATATATATATATATGTACACACACACATGTATATATATATATATACATATATATATACACACAAACACATGGCAGTTTCTTTAAACTTTGTCTGCCTTCAGCCCCCTATGGTCCCTCGAACACATCATAACCAATTATGATCTTTTAGCTCTTCCGCCTTACAGCCCTACTCGCCAGAAGCCACTTCTAGCTTTTAGCCTTGTAGCCCTCAAGCGCCAGAACCCTATGATCCTATGACCCCTCAACTCGGTAGTCTTGTAGCGACATCACCATGTAGCGCGATAGCCCCATAAGCTTGCTCCCTGCCTTAAGCCCCTCCCTCCTCTCCTAGCCCTGAGACCTAAACCCTGAACCCTAAACCCTAAACCCAAAACCCCTAAACCCCTAAACCCTAAACCCTAAACCCTAAACCCTAAAACCTAAACCCACCCGAGAATTCCGCGGCTTTCAGGCCGAAAGCTTCTTCGAC